TCCAAACAACCCCAAAAAACACACACACTCTCTCCAGCCATACATTCCATCGGCATTATAAAGTACTCAGTCGCGTCCCGAGTGCATAGAATTATGTGACAATAATAGATCCGGATTGTAGCATCGTAAAGGCAAAAATTCTGCGATAACCTTGACGAACGTGAGGACAACAATGAGGAATTTGAGGAGGAAGCGAAAAAAGAAGCAGCGGGAAATTTTACGGTAGTATTAAACTGAGTCTATCGATGACTACTGTACTTTCATAAAAAGAAAAGAACATAGAACAAGCAGGTATGTTCGAATAAAAGCATGCTAAGCTTAGTAAAAACCAGTGCATACAGAGTTACAAAAGAGTAAAACCCATAATCCGCGCCTCGTAGGCGTCATAGTATTAGGTTGTCCGGAAAGTTCTCAGCGTTTTGTGCACCTATTTTTTGTACATTCACTGCTGATTAAAAACTCATTCTGCCTTGCTTCTCAGTAGCACATCCTGTAGAGAATTTCTTGCGCTATCTGATGGTATAATTGCCGTTTCACCATTGCTTGATAACCCCCTTTTTTCAAGATTTTTTCAAGCATGTGAAAAGAGCACTTCGGACGATTTTTTTCTTCGACTATAAATTGGGGCAATCCGCAATCGAAACAGCTCAACAAATTAACCAGATGTGGGGGACCCAATAGTGCTAGAGAAAGCACTGTGCGGCAATGGCTCAACAAATTTTCGTTCTAGGAGATTTTAGCTTGAAAGATTGAACCTCATAGGCGGTCGAACCTAAAAACATTCTGAGGGGCATTTTTAGGGGATTTTTGGAGGCTGACTCCATCCAAACAGTTTGACGAGAGATAGCAGAAGAGCTAGGCGTTGGCAAATCCACTGTTGCAGATGGTCTGGAACGCATTGGGAAGGTGAAAAAACTCGACAATTGGGTGCCCCACAATCGGAGTGACCGGCAGGAATCGGCACGTCTCGAGGTTCCTTCTGCATTGCTTTTGCGCAAGCAGAAACGGCCTGTTTTTGGGCCGAATTGTCACCTGTGATGAAAAATGGATCATGTATGATAACAGGAGACGTTCCGGACAGTGGTTGGATTTTGACGGACCACCGAGGTAATTTTCAAAGCCGAACCCTCACGAAAAAAAGATTCTGGTCACGGCTTGGTGGTCATCGGCTGGTGTGATCCACTATAACTTTTATCACCAGGCCAAACCATCACAGCAGAACCCTACTGTGAAGGAATCGACGAAATGTACCGAAAATTTTGTCAGATGCAGGCCAAACTACCAAAAGAACAAGGGTCCGATTTCTTTTGCTGACACCGCAACGCCGTCGCCCGCACAGTTTCACAAATCACTATCCATAAATTGAAAGCGATTGGGGGTTTGGTCCTACCTCAATCCGGCCATATTCTTTCAGACTTTCGCCGCTAACCGACTATCACCTTTCTAAAACATTTTCAGAACTCCCTTGCTGGAAAATACTTCATCAATCAGGACCAGGCAAAAAAGCCTTAGTGGATTTCGTGAATTTTCGACCACCCAGTTTTTTACTTTGATGGGATTTCTCGACTGCTGTCACATTGGCAAAAGTGTGCTGATTCGAATGGTGCCTATTTCGATTAAATCCGATGAGTATTAAAAAAGTTACGATCGTTTAAAGTGAAACACCCAAAACGCTGAGAACTTTCCGGACAACCTAATACTAAAACAAAAAAGCGCTCCATTAGAGTTTAGGGGCAAACATTCTAGGAAGAAATGGGAATTCGATCGAAGGAATTCCCTTAGGAGTGGAAATCAATCAAGAGTTATCCCAACATATGACTGCTTTTTGAACCGATATGGCCGCGTTCATACATAGCGACCAGGACGATTCTGTCGCGCGACTGTGACTGCGCGCTCATAAACTTCATCCTGCCCGTGATAAAATTTGCAGTTGCAGCGATTTAGCGATTAGCGGTGGTTCGCTGAAGCGCGATTCCTCAGATAAGTCGAGTCGCGAAGTATGAACGCAGCTACGCAGTCATTTTCTCTACTTCCTTTCTAATTTTGTGTGAGATTCTAGGTGAGAGTGAGGGAGCTTCGGAGTGAGCTGAATATCTTTCAATTCCCCACAGATTTTCCGTCCGGGAGTTCTGTTTCCCCAATGAAAATTGCAAGCTGCTATAGCTGTCGCAGAGTTGCGGACTGGGTGCCTCCCGAGGCACAAAGCGCCTAAAACTAAATGTCTGCAGGTACTTTGGATTAGCGTGTTCTGCTCTAAAAGAATGCCGCTTTTCCCAAGGAAACATATTGAGGCCATGCATATAAAAGGCAAAACCACGTACCAATTCAGGTGTTTTTAAATGGTCACGAACCACAATGAAATTCGGCAAAATTATGGATTAGGTGGCACGCGATCACTGGAAATGTTCTATCTGTATAACTAACGACCACTTTTTGGCGCCACTCCAGTATAGTGGGGTACAGGGCGCAATATCTCGTCAGACTACGGTAGTTTACATACATTTACACAGCAAGTTTTATAAATAATGTGTGCTCGTGTTTTATCTAAAACGAGCAATCCTTGGACTTTTATATTGGACAGCTTTTTACGTGAACGCTTTGCATGTGCAGACATCCGATGCACGCCATGCGCGCAAAACTTGTCAGTAATTCCTGACTAGTTGCCTCGACATGCTCCACGCTTCATCACCCCCACCCCTCCCCCTCCAAGACCCCCCCCTCCCTGCCACTCCCCCGGACCACAGACACTTTGGGGCGTCAAATCGGTGCAGGGCACATCACAGTGTGGGGATTCCGAACTCTGTACGACCCCCCGCCTTTTTTTTTTGGGGGGGGGGGGTGGTACGACCCCCCCCCCCCTTGGCCTCTGTCCTCCTCATTGAATCTGAGCCCGTCGTGAAAACAGAAAAGCCGCGCAGATTAATAGACCCCCCCTCTACCAACTTTCAGATTTTTCCCAAACTTCCTGCGACTTTTCCAAAATTTCCTGGAAACTCTACTTTTCACCAAAAATTTTGCTGTCGAGGAGAGGGAGAGGGACGGTGGGGGGGGTGACCTATATGAGCTACGCATGAACAGGAGAATCACAAAGTCAGCCACCACTCCTGCCAACCCTAAAACGTAAATACACCCCCCTGCCCATGAACGTGACGTACGGCCCCTCCCCCTTTCCAACGTCTGTGAAGCGAGAAAAATCAACTAGCAAAATAAATTTTTCCAATACGACCCCCCTATCTCCTGTCGGCCATATATGACCCCCCTATTGATCCCCAACAGCGATGTGCCCTGATCGGTTGCGTATGACAGCCTACACCCTAGACCATTTATTTGACGGACTTATCCCGCGACAATATAATTTTTCCCCTTTTTTGAGGATCACTAGATTGATATTGAATGAACGCGATCCAAGAGAGAGCGTCAAATGTGAGAGTGGAGGAAAATGGTCTATCAACTGCTGAGTTTTTTGAAGAAGGTCGTGAAATAGACGGTATGAGATGAAGGTTACTATGACAAAACTGATTGGTTGCCGAAGTTCTATGTGGAGTCAGCTAGTAGAAATGCTTGTTTGCGCAACAGTCTTTGAGCCATGCTTGAGTCACACTCTTCATCAATGGTGTAGAGATAAAAAACGATGCGTTGAACAGAAAAGAGGGACTTCAGCCCTAGAACAAAAGCCCTTTGTGAGTGAACCAGTTCTACTAACTCTTTTGTACACAGAGAGATTTTGACAGTCCGTAAGGTGAGCGACTCAGAAGTGGGTGGTTCTTTCTGGTCGTCCATAGTAAATGAACATGGTTTCAACAGTTTTGCACCGGAATAGCGTCTCTTAGAACGTGCTAAACTTTTGAGCGTGGAAAAGTGCACAGTGGGCTTCGGCAGAATGACAATAGAATAACATCTGGGCCAGTCGTTTCAGCAACTGAGCCGGCAAAGCCGAGCTTAGAGACGAATGGAATCCATTCGAAAAACGTGTAATCCAATTTCCCTTTCCTTCTACCTCTGTCAACCACATTTGCATGGATACCTCACACCCTATGGAAGCATTTTCGGTACCGGACGGGATCTCCTTCGTCCGTCGAGGCCTTCGTTGTTAGAAATTCAATCGTAAATAAAATCTTGTTCCCTGTAGATGCTGAGGTATGTCAGGGGGAGAGGTTCGGCGCGGCGCCAGACTGTTCTCTACCAGTTGTTGGAGAGAGTAAGCGACAAAAATTAGTGGAAAATGGGCTGGCACCATGCAAAATCTCGCCCCCTGACGCCTCAGCATCCGGGGCGAACAAGATTGTAACCTCTTACCTGCTATTCAGACCCAGTCGCACGATTTCCTTGGCTACAGTACTCGCTTGCATATTCAGGCAACCACGAAACTTTACATTTTACTTTCCTTATGAATAGATGGGGACCAGGGACCGCATTATGTGGAAAAGAGGTTAATCCCTGGTAACGCGTGTGGGCCGTTACCGTTACCGCGTAGTGAGCCGTTTTTGATGGGAGCACTAAAGATATAGGCGACGAAAATTTCCGGCACTGCCTAGTTGGGGGGGGGGGGAAGGGCACACTTTGGGAACCAAGGCGTTCGGGCAGGGCACGCCATCGCTGATCATCACAAAGGGGGAGCTAGTATTTGGTCTGAAAAATTTTTTTTGGTAATTGATTTCTCTTGTTTCACGGACACGGGGGGGGGGTCGCATTTGGCTGGTTGTTGTTGAGAGAGGGACTGCTAAATATCTATAC